TATTTGAAAGAGACAGAGAGCATGAGCAGGGGGGAAGAGTCAAAGGGAGACAGAGAAGCAGGCTCCCACTGAGCAAGGAGCCCAACCCAGGACTTGATCCCGGAACCCTGGGGATCATGACCTTAGCCAAAGACAGATGCTTCACCAACTGAGCCCCTCAGGCACCCCGTCCCTCCTTTTCTTTATTCTCCTTGCAGCTCACCTTGTGATCCACCTCATAGCAGCTCCACGTATCAAAAATACTGACCCAATTCCCTCTATAGTTGGCCCTTGAACAACTGGGGGCTCCACTTACACATGGGTTCTTGTCCATAAACAGTACAGTACCATAAATAGATTTTTGTCTTCCTTATGATTTTCTTAATATTTTATTTTCTCTAGCTTACTTTAGTAATATAGTATATGATACATATAATATACAAATATGTGTTAATCGTCTGTGATGTGATCAGTAAGACTTCTGGTCAACAGCAGACTATAAGTAGTCCATTTTGGGGAGTTTAAAGTTGTACATGGATTTCCAACTGCTTGGGGAGTCGGTTGTCCCCAACCTCCAGGATGTTGAAGTGTCAGCTATTTGATACGTATTTGTTTTTTCCTTCTCCAATGGGTCAAGAAACTTCCCAAATCTGGGTGATTTTCTTAAGTAATCTCTGGACCCAATGTGGGGTTCAGACCCACTACCCCAAGATCAAGAATGGCATGCTTTTCTGACAGAGCCAGCCAGATGCCCCTCCAAATCATTTCAGGAAATAAGGTGTCCCTTGAAAATAAAGTATACTTATGGAAGATGTCTGTCTTTTTAAAGTAAAAATGTGATTTGATGTTGATTTTTTAATTATTAGTGAGAAATCCAGAAACTGTACACTTGAGGTAGAAGTTACTGTAACTAGCAGGAAATTAGATAAAATTATATTAAAGACCATACATCTGAATTGTGCTTTGTCATACACACATGAACTCAGGCAGGCAAGGCTTAAGATAGCTCATGGCAGGACACCTGGGTGGCTCAGGGGTTGAGTGTCTGCCTTCAGCTCAGGGTGTGATCCTGGAATTCTGGGATTGAGTCCCACATTGGGCTCCCTGCATGGAGCCTGCTTCTCCCTCTCCCTGTGTCTCTGCCTCTCTCTTTCTGTGTCTTTCATGAATAAATAAATTAAGAAAAAGATAGCTACATGGTCCCTTTATTTACATTTTATTTTATTGTTATAGTAAAACCTTGATTGTACTGCTGGAGGAGTAGCAGCTCTAATTGCTTTAATTGTCAGAGCAATAGAATTAAGCGATCATTTTTATTTCATCTTCAATTGAATACCTTTTAAAGGAGCACCTATGCTTGCCTATTTTGTTAAGTTTACTGAGGATAATTTAAGGCTTTCTTTGTACTATAGATTAAGAAAGTATAATTGTAGAGGAAGACAGCCACTACTTGGTTTTTATTCACTTTTTTCCAAGATGTATATTCCTCACCCATCACTCACAGATTTCCTGGTGTCTCCCCACTGCTTAACATGCAAATATTCCTGGAAAGTGTCATCTGAGATTACAAGTGATTGCCATTTCCCAAACTTGATAAACTACTGAACTTCTTTAAAAGCAGTGTTCTTAACCTTGGCTAAACATTGGAGCCATCCAGAAGCTTTAAAAATTGCTGACATTTGCGTTCCACTCCCAGAGCTTGCATAGAATGGATTGGCAGCTCTGGTTTTAGAAGTTTTTAAAACTTCCCAGGTAATTCTGATGAACAGCCGAAACTGAGAACCACTGTTTTAGAGAAAGAATATTCTCTAAGTACCTCCACACACACTGTTGATTTAAATTACGTTTATTATGATAGTGTTTAAATACATACAAACTGACGGTAGGTTGATATTCCTTATGTATGTAGTTGTATATAAAACACATTTACAAATGAAAAACCTCAAAATCAGTAAATTCAAACCAACATTAATGTATGTATGGATGATATTTTCCTAAGACTTTTGTGCATACTGTTTCTTCTATTTAGTCTGGTACATCCTCTTTCCTGCCTGTATCAGCCTGGGCCCAGGCAGGAGATAAAAAGCACACAGTAATGGAAACAGGGAAAGTTTCTTACAAAGAATAAACTGTGATAGAAGAGTCGCTTCAGAAACCGTGTGACCTAGGGCTGAAGGAGAGTCCCTGAGGAAGGCTAGGGTTCAGACTTGCTGAAGAAGGTGTAGTTGCGGGATCCCTGGGTGGCGCAGCGGTTTAGCGCCTGCCTTTGGCCCGGGGCGCAATCCTGGAGACCCGGGATCGAATCCCACATCAGGCTCCCTTTCTGGGAGCTTGCTTCTCCCTCTGCCTATGTCTCTGCCTCTCTCTCTCTCTCCCACTGTGTGCCCATCATAAATAAAAATAAAATAAATTTTTTTTTTTTTTTAAAAAAGAAGGTGTAGTTGCAGCCCATGAGTAGCAGAGCACCCCCATGATTAACGCATGTCAGCAAGTGTGCAGTTGCTGGGCAGCAGGAAACACATCTCCAGGACACAGGACTGGCTCAGGAAAGCCACAGCCAGTAGCCAGTCACAGGGCCACACAGGAAAACGGGGTCCTGGGGGCGGCCCTCCTGGTGGCAAGCTGCAGTCAATGGCCAGCCATGGGCTGTGCTGAGGGAGTAGGAGTAGCGGTGCAGCAGGAGATGTGGTGCACACGGGGTCCCAGTCTGGAGGGCCCTGTCATCAGCAGGACCACAAGGCATGAATGTAGGGGTAGGGCAAGCAGCAGGAAGCCCAGAGCATAACAGTGTCTGTTGAAAGGGTCACAGACAGATGACACTAGAACACTAGACCACGTGCTGCGAGGTTGCTGTGGGACCACCCTTTCTGGCTCAAGGCTGGTGTAATCACTGGTGTCCTTAAAGCTACATGCTCAGTTATGCTCCCTGGAAAGGAGAAATACTTAAAGGAACTGCCCGTTTACTGCAGAATGTGTGTTGAAGGTTGACTGGAATTGCCCAGCAGTAAATTGATATCTAACACACTACTCTGTGCCAGCCAAATGCTTTTGCAGTGTGCAAGCTCTGGCTTACAGGCTGACCTTTCCAAGTGGTTTTTACTCTGTGCTGTGCTCCTGCGTATCCTTATAGTAGCTCACCATGCTGTGTAGGAATCTGTTTAAAAAACAATTGCTCTCGGAGTGCCTGGGTGGCTCTTAATTTCAGCTCAGGTCATGATCTCAGGGACAGGAGATGGAGTCCCATGTTGGGCTCCACACTGAGCCTGGAACCTGCTCAAGATTCTCTCCCTCTCCTTCTGCCTCTCCCCACTCCATGTGCTCTCTCTCTAAAATAGATAGATAATAGATTAGATAGATAGATAGATAGATAGATAGATAAAATTGCTTTTTGAGACACCTGGGTGTCTCAGTTGGTTAAGCATCTGACTCTTGATCTCAGTTCAAATCTTTTTTTAAGATTTTATTTATTCATGAGAGACACACACACGGGGTGGGGGTGGGGGGCGGCAGAGACACAGGCAGAGGGAGAAGCAGGCTCCATGCAGGGAGCCTGATGTGCGACTTGATCCCGGGTCTCCAGGATCAAGCCCTGGGCTGAAGGCGGCGCTAAACTGCTGAGCCACCCGGGCTGCCCTCAGCTCAAATCTTGATCTCTGGCATGAGCTCGAGCCCTACATTGGACTCCACACTGGTCGTGGAATCTACTTTAAAAGAAAAAAATTGGGGGAGGTGGGCGGGGGGTGGGGGTGACTGGGTGACGGGCACTGAGCAGGGGCACTTGATGGGATGAGCACTGGGTGTTATTCTATATGTTGGCAAATTGAACACCAATAAAAAAAATAAATTCATAAAAAAATTGCCCTTTCAAACAAACATACCATGTAGGAATCTTAAATAAATAAATAAATAAATAAATAAATAAATACTCTTAAAAGAAAAGAAAAAGAATTGCTTTCTCTTTGAAAAGATGCCCATTCCCACTATTGGTGAGAATGCAAACTGGTGTGGCCACTCTGGATGACAGTATGAGAATTCCCCAAAAGTTATAAGCTTGTTGCCATCCAGCAAGTACACTACTAAGTATGTACTCAAATATGAATTTAAAGGTGTACATGTACCCTGATGTTTACACCAGCATTAAAAGCAGTAGCCAAACTACAGAGAGAGCCCATCAACTCTCTGAATGAATAAAGAAGTTGTGGTATATATACACAATGGAATATTACTCAGCCATCAAAAAAGAACGAAATCTTGCTATTTGCAATGACATGGATGGAGCTAGAAAGTATTATGCTAAGTGAAATAAGTCAGAAAGACAAATACCACATGATCTCACTCATTTGGAATTTAAGAGACAGATGAACATGGGGTGGCAGGGAGGCAAACCAGGAAACAGACTCTTAACTATAGAGAACAAATGGAGGGTGCTGGAGGGGAGGTGGGCAGGGGGATGGGTTAAATGGGTGATGAGGGTTAAGGAGGGTACTTGCTGTGATGAGTACCGGGTATTGTACATAAGTGCTGAGCCACTAAACTTGGGGAAAAAAATTTTAAAAATGATTTTTCAAGCAAACATATAATGTGCATGAGAATCACCTCCAAAGACTGATTTGGTTGGGCTAGGGTGGAACCCAGGAACCTGCATTTTTAATACGTTGTCAGAAGCCTGCTGATGATGTGGCTCCTGAGACAACACTGAGAGGTGTGGGTCTGAGGCCGGACCTTCGCAACAGTGTCTTATTCTATTTCATACCCTTATTGCCTAACATGCGTCCTGCTAGAAGCATGGTGTTCGACCCATGGGTAAAATAAACGACCATTGAACCACTAACGTGGGTCAGGGTCACCCTGGGAAGTGGTGGCCCTGGAAGAATGCCCCATGTTCCATGCCCCTCTTGGAATGCCCTTCTGCATACTGTGCAAGCAACTCAATCTCCCCTAAAAGTTCCTGCAGCTAATGCTTTTTCATTGTTTGACTTAAGATGGACATTATACCAATGCCACCTTTCTTTGTTTCATAGGGAGAAAGAACAAGAAACACAAAAAGAGGAACGTTTGATGGAAGAAAAGAAAAAGAAAAAGCAGGAAGAAAAGAAAAAGAAGGAAGGTGCTCAGAAAAAGGTTTGACTGGCATTCCTACTTTATAGCCTGTGATCATTGTGTGTCTCATTTTGCATTGTCACAGCCATTATATTAGAATTCCACTTTATGACCTCAAAAATCAATATGCTCAGTCTATAATTAGCAAAAAATAGAAGTACTAGCAAAATAAATATAAGGTGACAGCCACAGAATGTCTTTCTTAAGGAACTAGAAATAGTAGAGCTATGTATTAAAGAAGTCTGATTTTCGTTGTTTGTTATAAAGAATGTCCATGCTATGCTATTCCACTTACTGCAAATTGTCCAGAACAGCCATGGCTGAGAAATGAGGAAAGGGCCATGTAACTGATTTTATTAGGAAAGCTAGAAATAATTTTTGCAGGTTTGGCAAATGTTCTTTTATGAATCCTATTGGTAAATATTAAAAATTAAAAGTCCTACTGTAAATCTTATCTTACTTGAATCTTACGGCATTTAATATACCACGTTAGGCTTTTTGTTGTTGGTCTTACCTAGTTTAATATACCTTGTATTTTAAACTGTACCTTTTAGTCTTTGTTAAAATACAGAGACTCTGATGAGCTTCCAGATAGGTTTTCTTTTCTTTTCTTTTTTTGCCTTTAGATCAATATTGGCTTATAATAGCATGTGGACAATTACACATTTTCTCAGTAATAAATTTTAATAAATTGGGTAAAAACTTGTTTTTAAAATTTCTAGTATTGAAGTCTGCTTATAAACTTTCATAGATGTGCACATTCTACACATTATTATTCCTAAAGAGTTTCTGATTTTTTTTTTTCCAGGCTGCTGATCAAAAAACCAAAGGTAAGTTTATTTTATTTGGGGGCGGTACATTTTATGGCAGAACCACACTTTGTATGATGAAGATGACTGTTATTTTAATTGACAGTTAAAAACAAGGAATCTGACCCTGGCTGCTGCTTTTTATCATTCCCTGTGTACTTCTTCATTTCTCACTGGTTTCATTCACATCTGCATTTCATTGGCATTTGTTTAATCTAAAATGCCTAAAGAATGTTTGCTTTCTGAACAATGTTTTTTACTTTTCCTTTGGTTTACCATTCACTAAACAAGGACTAAACTGATAAAGGTGAGCCAATTTGAAAAGAACAACTGAGGGATCCTTGGGTGGCGCAGCGATTTGGCGCCTGCCTTTGGCCCAGGGCGCGATCCTGGAGACCCGGGATCAAATCCCACATCAGGCTCCCTGTGCATGGAGCCTGCTTCTCCCTCTGCCTGTGTCTCTGCCTCTCTCTCTGTCATAAATAGATAAAAATTTATAAAAAAAGAAAAGAAAAGAACAACTGAAAGATACTGAATTTTTTTGAAGCTTCTAATTTCTCTTTGCCGACAACATAACAAAAAGAGTTATATTCTTTCTGTATTCCCTCTTCGCTTATTGATATATAGAAGATTTCTTTTTTATTTTCTAAGTAGAAAATTTACTTGTTAGGGTCTTAGCAGGTATTGGAAACACATGTAGTTCCTTTAGGCACCAAGGTGTCCCTAGGATTTGCTGGAGAAGAAGCACAGTGGAAGCAGCACTAACCAGTTTCACCCTGTGCTTGCCCTGGTCAGATGAGGAGAGGCATGTGCACAGGAGCTCCAGCTGCCAGCTCTATTGAGTTTGGGGCCAGTTACTTCATTTCTCCAAGCTTCAGGTATTTCCTACTGAAAATGAGAAAGCTGGTAAGTGAGTGGCTCCCACTTCATAAAGCTCCTGGGAAGATTAAATGAGATCATGTATGAAAAGAGCTTGGTGCCCAGCACATAATTGGTGCTCAGTAAAAGTGAGCTATAAATAACTGGAAATTTTAGGATTTTAAAGTTTCTGCTGGACACAGTTGTACGTGCAGGCATGAGTGCTATAAAGACTTATCAGAGTGCAGTTTCAGGTGGTAGGTGCTGCTACTAATACCCTGCTTTTGTTTGGCATCTTAGAGTTTCCAAAGTAAAGTTTATGTATATGACTTCATTTGAACTTCAAAACTGAGCAGGGCAGGTATTAGGTGACCATGAAGAAACTGAGGCTGACATGAGAGTTAAGCAGCCTGTGCCTGGCCAGCTGCTCATGCAAGGAGAGGACTTGAGAGAGCTGGACTTCTGACCCCTGCACAGTGGGCCTCCGAGCTCCCGCACCAGGGTCACAGTAAGATGGGATTTCATATAAAGTAAATATTAAAAGGCAGCCCAGACCCCAGAAAGGACATTTGTTTCTCACTCCCAGAAGTATGAATGTACAGCACACTTTTCCAGAAGGTTCAAAGGGTTGTGGTACATGGTTGCATTAGCAGTTATGATCTTGAATAAGAAACAGTGGTTTCTTCCACTTGTCATTATTGTTTTGAGATATTTATTTCCTTTTGTTTTTAACATTCTGAGAAGTTTTTATGACCTGATTTAATACTGACCATATTCTCTTGTCATTGTCAATGTTTTCTCTTCAAATAGTAACAAATTGCTTATGATTGTATAGTGATCCTGTTACACAACACAGAATTATTATTTCCTGTTACTATTCTGATGAGCATTTCTTTACTTACTCCAAAGTGTGCTGGTGTTTTCTCTTCTCCTTTTATCTTCTCTAAATTACTACTCCTTTGGGTCTAATTTGTCATCAGCTGTGCTAACTATATCTAGCCTTAGCCTTAGCACACATAATGATAATGATTATTAATGTCTCCTAAACAGAAGAAAAAAAGCTTTTAAGTTATAAATAACAGTGCTACTGGATAATTCATTAATGAATATTAGCAGTATTAAGGTTTAAATTTTTCTCAGATGCTCCATTATTACTGGTTCAAATTAAAATTAACTACAGGAAGGTGATTCTGAATTTCTGACTGGACATGTGTGTTGGACAAGACAGGCAGGGCCTGCTGCTTCCCCTAATTAACACTTCCCCAGCCCCTGTGCCTCAAAGAGCTACACTGAACAATTTGAAAACCATTGTATGAGCTTTTCACAAACGAAATAGTTTCTCATAATTTCTGCTTCAAGAAAGAGGTAGCTGAGTACAATAATCTGTTAATGCCTTTAGTGAGACTAGAGATGCTCTCACAGTTGAAGGAAGGTGATGAGACATGATCTCACTTACATATTGTATTTCTGCTTTGAAGGACCTGGTATCTGAGTGTCGGACGCTGTAAGATGGGTTTTGCTTTGGTTATCAGTAATCTCTTTCCTTTATTTTGGGTGCTGCCCTTAATTTGAGCACAGATATTAGTAGCTTTATATCTGATGTGATGACTTTGTGAGCCTAAATTTTCCATTATTGTTTTCTAGGGTTTTTTATGGATTTAATTTTTTTAAGATTAATTATAATGCCCATAAACATGAAGTAATTTAATTCATTGGTTTTGACCAGATTTTCTAAAGTTCATAAAATAGAAAGATAAGTTTTCATACAAGAAGCTCAAAGTTAATTAATTACATCATGTATGAAAGCAAGTATCTTGACCTAATATGTCTCAAACTCCATATGATTAATGCTTTATGGTTTTGAGTCATATACTTTTATAAATTCATGTATTATGATTAGGCTCCTAATATTGCTTGCAAGGATTATAATTTAAGTTTTACGGTCCGGTATTCAACTTTGCCATACATTCGATTTGTAATGCTAATTTTAAGAAAATGTATATGTGCTTTTGTTAATGTAAATCAATTGAAACCATATTCTTTCTGCAGCCTCACATTCAGTGATAAAGATTTTGGGGTCACAGTTTTGTTTGCACTGTGCTGTATTCCTATTAAGGCTCATTCTATAAACATATGGTTTTTCTCAGTATGAATGAAGATGAGCATTGAAGCTTAAAGGATGCTTTCCCAATTTCATAGTCAGATCTAGATTTGAACAAATATGAGTGAGAATCCACATCTCTGTATTTTACCGTTAGGTGACCCTTCTTTTTAGCAGAGTCGGCTGAGTGATATTTGCTCAGTTGTGAGCTATTTGCTCAACACAATATTCAGCAGTTAGTTTTCATAAGGCATCACATCTGTGTTTTCCTGAATTACACTGTGTAATAAAATTGGCCAGATTCCTTGAGTTTACATGTATCCACATAACCAAAACAAACATTATTTTGAATGTATGAGTTATCCTTAGAAGCAATAGTTAAAAGTCTAGTTAGTGCGCTTGGCACAGTATATTTTATAAAATATGGCATTTTGTTTGCCTATCTGCAAAATTAATAAAATCTTAGCATTTGAAGGATCCTTAGAGATTTCCCAGTTCTTCATTGGTTCAGAAATGAAATTCAAAGAGGCTAAACAATCTGTACAAGTTTTGACAGCTATAGTTATTGGCAGAACTAGAACCCCTATCTTCTGGCTGTCAGATTTTTTTCCTGCTGTTATATGAAGATGAAGGAGACATCAATATTGTATATCCATTATCAGTATAATCATTCATTTTAGGAAGTAACTTAGGATCTTTTCAAATAAGGCTGAAATTCCTTTTTTTTAAATTTTTTTATTTATTTATGATAGTTACACACAGAGAGAGAAAGAGAGAGAGAGAGAGAGAGGCAGAGACACAGGCCGAGGGAGAAGCAGGCTCCATGCACCGGGAGCCCGACGTGGGACTCGATCCCGGGTCTCCAGGATTGCGCCCTGGGCCAAAGGCAGGCGCCAAACCGCTGTGCCACCCAGGGATCCCGAAGGCTGAAATTCCTAAGAGATTCATTATGTGAGGGATCTTTATGGGATGTAATTTTATAGGATTTTAAATATTAGATGTCTTTCTTTAGCCATGTTGCTCTATATTTAAAGTAACTTTAATTTTACTGTTCAATACCTGGCAGAAAGAATATAAAATAAATGCATTAATTTTTTTCCATGGGAACAGAAGAAAGTGTATTAAGATACGGTATTTTCTCCAAACATGTAGGCAATTTAAAAGGATAAAAATTATCGGGGGGGGGGGGAGAAACAACTAAGCAGGTACATACTTATAAGTTCTTCATTGAATTTTAGAAGGAAGTATAAATCCACTGGTGGCAAGGAGGTGGCACAGTGCTCCTTTTATAAACCCTTTAAGCATCTTCTTGAGGGCCCTTAAGTCTCAGAGTAAAAGTCCACATCTGTTTATTTAGCTTAACCAAACTAAAACGTTAAATGTAAAGGCAGCTCCAAGTTTAGAGAAAGTTACAGTTTATAGCTCTAAAGGAGGTTGACAGGCTGCTCTCTGAGAAATCATTTAACAGATTATTGCTCTGCTTTGTTTTTTTTTTTTTAAACTTTACTGAGTTAAATTGGCACACAGTAAACTGCACATGTTTAAAAAGAACAGTTTAATAAGTCTTGGTATGTGCACCAAGACTTATTAAGATGTGATCCGTGAAACCATCCCCACAATGAAGACAGTAATCCATCACTCCTGGAAGTCTCCCTGCACCCCTGCCAACCCAGTTCTCATGCCCTCTCCACCTTCAACAGTCTGTAGGCAAACACTGATCTGCTTCCCATCACTACAGATTGTTTTCTAGACTCCAGTTAGATTAGCAGACTCATGCAGGATGCACTCTTCGCTTCTTTTGCTCAGAGTAATGCTTTTGATATTCATTCCTGTTATGTATTTCAGCAGTTCACTCTTTTTTATTGCTGAATAGTTTCATTGTTTGGATATATCACAATTTGTCCCTTTGAGTTATTTCTTATTTTTAGCTCTCATGAGCAAAGCTTCTATGAGCTTTGGTATACAAGTCTCCGTATGGATATGTGCTTTGATTTTTCTGTGGTAAATATGTAGAAGTAGAATGGCTGTATCTTAGGGTATATCTATTTTTAACCTTCCAAGA